AGACTAACAAAGTGGTAAAACTAGTTGCTTTTATCTCTATAAAGATGTTACTAGCTAAGTGCAACTATGCTATCTACGACAAGGAGCTTATAGCCATCGTCCGCGCCTTTAAAGAATAGAGACTAGAGCTGGCCGGCACCTTAGACCCGGTGAAGGTTATCTTAGACTATGCTACCTTACAGACCTTTATAGTCAATAAAGCACTTAATAGGCGTTAAGTAAGATAGGCTAAGTTTCTAAGTAAATTCAACTTTAAGATTACTTACTAACTAGGCAGACTAGGCAGCAAACCCAACGCCTTAACGAGACGCCCCGGCGACACACCTACAAACCTAAACGATCCACGGATCATACATCAGACCCAGACAATCCTCAGCCCTAACCACGTCGACGACGTTATTAAACGAGACACGCACACACACAACAACGCCTAACAAGCAATTTAACTCGCGGCGCTGTTATTCGAATACGCGGAGGAGGTATAAACGCTAGCAGGCATACTATATCTAATAAGCGAGGAGGCGTATAGCGTCGATAATTTAGTAGATAACAACTCAACCCTAGACGTAGCCTTAGACAGCTAGCCTAAGGGGGAGATAATAGAGATCCCTTACGCTACTGCGCCAGCTCCCCCGGCACCCGTGCTGGGGGAGAACGCGCCTAACGATAGACTTATAACAGCGATCGTAAATGCCTACTACGTCGATCCTATACTACAAGAAATAATACGAGCAAAGGCAGACGGCGCCTATTACCTTCCCTATACTATCGCTTTATAAATAAAGCTAAAGCTAGAGCTATAGAACTGCGAAATCCGTAATAGTCTAGTTTACTTCCGCGGTAGACTCTTTATCCCCTACGACGACAATCTTCGCAAAGACATCGTCCGTTAGTTCTACAACACTACTACAGCAGGCTATAGTAGTAAGCGCTCTACCTACTACCTAGTTAGCTAATAGTACTACTAGCCGCTTATAACAGACATAGTCGCTTAGTATACCTAGAGTTATATAGTCTGCCGACGCGCAAAGCTATACAGAGACTGTAAGTAAGGACTGCTGCACCCGCTCCTTGTACTAAAACGATTCTAGACTAACATTTTAGTCGACTTTATTACACCCCTACTAGACTATACTAGATTTAGACGCACCTACTCTTATATTATAGTCGTAATTAACTAGCTAAGCAAGTCGTAATAGTTTATCGCCCTAGACAGCCTTAAAGTTAATACTATTGTCTAAGCATTTGTCGATTATATCTAGAGAGAGGAAGGTTTCACTACTATAATTATGTCTGACTAAGGGTCACAGTTTGTCTCTTATCTCTAGAAGGAGCTATATTATTAACTAGGTGTTACACTAAAGCTCTCTACAGCTTACTACCTAGAAATAGACAGCTAGACTAAAGTCGCTAACGCTAGACTAAATTGTTACCTACCTGCTTGTGATGGGCTAGACCTATGTAGGCCTACTTGTAGGCTAAGAGAGCAGCGCAGTCATGCCTCCTACATAAATATCGACTACGCAAGCTGAATCGCGTTGATTCAACTTGTGCATGCCTTTTGCGCAGGCGTGGTGCATGTAGTCGTGCCGCTAGTCTTATAGACTCTCGCCCCTTACAGTGCTTACACGAACTATATGCAAAACGACTAGGTAGACTAGCTACTACTAGCCTAGCTCGCTATTAATAATAGAGAAAACGTGTCCTCTAGCGTCGCACCTGCGCTTGCCACTAAGGGCTACCTACCTCGCATAGGATCGGAACTAGTCACCAAAGACTTGCCCATTACTGACGCCTGTTCACGCGCAGAACAGTTGCTCCGCGAAGACGCCTAAGGCACGGTAAAAAGAATAACTAACGTTATCCGTTTCATGCAAGAAAATCTTCGCTAGTCCTAAGATAAGATAGAATACTACGCTAACTAATATGGACAGCCCGCTCTAGACTACCGCGTTGGTAACAAAGTCTATATTAATGCCTGTAATATCCCTATAATGCGCCTAAGCCGCAGTCTTAGCGCAAAGAACATTAGCCTATATAAAGTGCGAGCTTTACCTAACTAATATACAGTTAAGCTCGCACTACTAAACTACTATAAACAAGTCTATCTAGTGTTCTACTTATAGTTACTACACCTAGACGCCGATTAAACAGCTCGCCTAACTAAGGGCGTTATCGCTGAGAAACACCCTAACAGAGAGCACGACTACTACGTAGACATAGTCGTCGACTGTCGCATAGATAAACGACGCAAGGACACCCTTATAAATAAGAAAGGCATACTCTAGTATAAAGTTAAGTACACTAACTCCCTAGACTAGAATGCCTCGCCCGTATAGCAAGACTATACAGACCTGTAGGGCGCAGAGGAAGCGGTTAAAGACTTTCACCGTCTCTATCCTAACAAGCCCCCACCTTACAAACTATATTAAGACCTAGCGTTATATCTTAACCTAGTCGCTGTATATTTATTTAGTCGCGATAATATTAAAGTTGTTAGCGTACTAGACAGTTGTGAGCTTGCCTTATTACCTTCGCATTTACTAATAGCACAGCTTAGACCTAGCAAGGTGGCACAACTTAGGGCGTCTGTCTCTAAGCAGAAGCAAGGACCTAAAGGATAAGACACAACATAACTGCTCGGCATCAAGCACAGCGTCATAAAATAAAGGACATTCACGGCTTGCAGGTGCAACCGTCTTCTGAAAGGGGGGGGGTAATGTTACGGATCCATAGACTCGCTCGGCCCATGGCCCCCATATCGATAAGATCCTTATCTTATCGGACTAGCGCCTTGGCGCCCACAGCATAAGTTCGGGCTCACAACGTAGATAGCTCGATAGCTTGTATCTTGTCAAATCCAATCTTTCTTGATCGATCCCTCACAGTAGGCATCCTTACTTGTCTCGTTTAGTTAGGCTATAATTAGCGGCGGCGCTAAAAGCGGCGGTAGATTTTTTTCTAGCAGGTAGGTACAGCTATGCAGCTAGGCAATTAGGCGTTTTACTATAGCGGCGCTTCTGTGGTGGTACGTCTAGTTAATGTAATCCTCGTTGTATAAGTATTTCTGTCATTAGCGTGTCGCTTGCGGCGACAAGAAAATACAATTTGCAAACGAGCTTCTAGGGCCCGTCTTAAAAGGAAGCTTATATAATATAATATAAGGGCTTAATTAAGAGTATAGAGAAAGTGTGAGGGACGTCAATAGTTGAGATGACCGTATCTGTATTAAGTACTAAGTGAGATATTGCGTGCAGGTTCGAAGACCTGCGCGGGTCGAACTTTGGTGTTCGGCTGTGGCCTTCGCTTAAGGCGCACGGGCCACCTCGCTTACTAGAGGTCGCGGGTTTGATCCATGACAGAAAGATTGGATTTAATAAGATATAAGCTATTAAGCTATCTACGTTATGAGCCCGAACTTGTACTGTGGGCGCCAAGGCGCTAGTCCGATAAGATAAGGATCTTATCGATATGGGGGCCATGGGCCGAGTCTATGGATCCGTAACAGCTAAATATGCTCCTAGTGTTAAGTATTGTTAAACGGGTAAACGCAGCGATTTAATTAAAGGCTTTCGGGCTTATAACTGTAATAGGGTGAGAAGAGGAGGAGGACTACGTTGCATTATATAGCTATAGAGGAACTGCAGCTATATAGGTGTGTGTGATGAGAAAGTGTGGTAGCGATAGCCGTACCTAACTCTCACCCAAGTGGATCTTGGCAAGGCCCAAACCGTTACAACATATGCTAGATTTTCTTTAGATCTAGAGGTAAGATATGTGATGTGTAGTTTGTATCGTTGAGTTTGCATGAGCCAATTAAGCAGGTATGCTTGAATGAATATGCTACTGGCTTCGCTCGTATCGGAGACGTATTCGTAGCTTGCCAGTTGGAAAAAGGGAGGTATAGTCGTGATCATCTGAGCGATTTCCAAGTCCATAGCCGTTATCTGAGTATCGCAACTGGGACTTGTGAGGTTTGTTGACGATTGTAGTGTGTGATCGACGATGCTGCGAGATATCTCTGCGAGACGCAGCCGTTCTAGAAAATGAGAGGTGTCAGTTGGCTCGGTCGCAGCTGCTTCTGCCGGTATCTCGCTGGGTCCAATGTCTACGTCATGGATGTTGAGCGGCCGGTTGACCGTCATCTGTCTTGGGTGTGCTTGATAGACACCCTCGCATGGACCACCCTATCGTGCAGCGAGTAACCTATAGGATACCGTCAGTATACCGCATTGTGCTTCACCGGGGTAGACGAGATCAACTAAATCAATCAGTGGCGACTGAATACCACCACACCCGACGCCTCTTTTCGATTCGCGAAGTGGAAACAACGTGGGCGTTGGCCGAACTATCAACACAGTGAAAGCCTATCTCACGAGCCAACAGCAGGTCGGTGGAGATTAGAGATCGGTATCGCAACGAGACGCCTTCTGAGTTTGATATGACAAGCGAGAGGATGACAATCCCTTGGATGGTTTCCAATGTGAGTGTAGCACAGTCCTGCGCGGCATTGAGTACTGCATATGCCGGTCTGATCCATGAAGATGTCTGTGCGTCGGCCTACGCCGAAGACACAAACAGTGATTGTTCATCGTCTCCGTCCTCGCGCGAACCCCAAATATGGGTTACGCAGGCAATACTCAGGAGCAAGATGAGACGGCCGTAGTTGATCGTTCGACTGACAAGGATTATATGCCTAGCGCCATGTACCTCGTCGACACGTACACTGTTCATGCTGCAAGCACAATCTTCCGATGCCTTCTAGGAGCTCCTCTACCGCTTGTCGGTCCAGCTATGTTTGATAACTTGGATCTGGGTTGGGGGTAACTCAGAAGGCCCGGCCTTAAGCTAGGGCTAACTATCTCCGCGTGCACGATCCTGGGCCCCTCGCGAAAAACTTCCCCACTAGAAAGTCGAGCTTGAGCTTGGAGGCAGCCACGGAACCAAGTTTGCGCCAACACTGCGTCAACTCTCAGACTCGCTCTCATTCTCACCTGAACATGTCTCGAATGTCAGAAGACTCATCGCGACCTGCGAAACGCGCGAAAATTGACGATAGTTCCGCCATCGACGCTGATTTGGAGCGTGAAGTGCGCGCTGGCATAACGGAATATGTCTGCCCGGATAACCTCGGTTTCAAGGGAGTGTTGAAGCAAAGATACACTGATTTCCTGGTTAACGAGATTGGACTCGATGGGCAGGTGTTACATCTGACGAGTACAGCAGTAGAGGAGCAGAGGAAGGTAGATCAGGGCACAGATGTGGCCAATGGCGCCGATAAAGAAGCATCCAAAAGTGCGGTAATAGAAGAGCAAAAACAAGATGCAGATGCGTATGATACAGGACTTGGTGGGGAGGTCAAGCTACAAGTGGCAGCTAAGCCAACGCCCCAGCCCCAGCTCGAGACTGCCGAGCCGATCGAGGAACCGGTTGCTAGTCAGCCAGAAACTCAAAAAGAAGACTCAGAGAAAGAGGTAAGCATTGTACATGACATAATCGTGGCGCAGATACTAATACCGCGCAGAAGTTGGCAGACGACGATCGCAACACACTACATTCAATATTCGGCGAGCAAACCACTGATGAGATAATCAAGCTCGTAAGACAGGTACGACGACGCGAATCCAAAAAGGCAAAAGACTTCAAGGCCGTCATATCACCGCCGATAACCGACAAGGACATGCGCACAAAAGCTCACCAGAGTCTGCGTCGGATATTCCCAAATCTGCTGGAGAGTGCCATGGAGAGCGACCAGACCATACGCATCAAGGCCACACCACCAGCCGAGCGCAAGAATAAGAAAGGAAAGGGTGGCGGCAGAGATCGCGAAGATCATTCTAGGCGACGAGGCGGTCTGGACTGGGAGGAGCTGGGTGGGGAATACCTCCACTTCAATCTCTACAAGGAGAACAAGGACACAATGGAAGTGGTGGGCTTTCTTGGAAGCAAGCTCAACTGTGGTACAAAGGGCTTTGGGTTTGCAGGTACCAAGGACAGACGAGCATGTACCGTCCAGAGAGTATGCGTCAAGCGCCAGACGGCTCAGCGCATGCAAAACTTCAACAAGATGTTATTCAATGCTTGTGTAGGTAACTTTGAGTATCGCCACCATGATCTGAAGCTAGGCGACTTGATGGGCAACGAGTTCACCATCACACTCAGAGACTGTCATTTTCAGGGCGAGCAAGGCCTGACGTTTGAAGAACGACTGAAGCTTGCCGACAATGTAATCGGCAAAGCCATCACCGATTTTTCGCAAAAGGTTTCATCAACTACTATGG